ATGCTGTTCGAGCTTTCATTAGTACCCTTAAACAAGTCTATCATATACATTTTTGGGTTTCCAAAAGTAGGATGAAGACAGTGACTTGTCACAATGTGAATTGTTAAGAACAAACTTGGATTTTGGAGTGGCAGCCCCAGAAGAACATTGACTGACTGTCTTATATTGTACAGGACAATGTGAGGAAAGTGATGAAAGTGTATAATGTGTATAATGTGAGGAAAGTGATGAAAATAGACATGGAACATGGAGAAATGGTGCCATCCAACCAGGCCCCACTTTCTCCCTCTCACACACCATGGTAATCTGAGGGGTCCTTGGATGTTTCATTACCCAACTAACATCATCAGTGCACTGTTGGGTAATGAAACATGTGCAAGAAAACAACCAAGCTCAGAGAGGATCAAGGACCCCGGATTTCAACCCTGAGCTACAAGTATTCTCCTTTATTCGTACATGATGAATCTTTAGGACAGTGGTTCTCAACCTTTCTAATGCCGCGACCCCATAATACAGTTCCCCATGTTGTGGTGACCCCCAACCACTTATACATCACCGGGTGCCAGGGGCGTGGCCAAAGAAAAGGGGGAAAAATGGCGGACAGCCTTGTTTGGCGACCCCCGTGAAATGGTCGTTCGACCCCAAATGGGGTCCCGACCCACAGATTGAGAACCACTGCTTTAGGAGAAGCCAGAGCTCTATCTTATGTCTACATTGGAGTTCAACCATTATGACAAAATACAATATATCCAAGTCCCATGTCAAGGTATCTTTTTCTCATTTGACCCAAAACCTATGGCAAAAAGCAGAGAGAAGTATGTTAACTCCAACAGGGAGTTAGCAACTCCCTACAGCAAAAGACATGCTTCACTTTGTCTAGACTCCCTACACAATTCACAAACCTGGAAAACAAGCACTCCTTAAAACCAAATCATTATAACGTGCATATTTTCTTCACATCAGCTAACCCTCCTGTCCTACAAAATTTCTTCTGTTATCAGCTAGATTCCAAGTTTTTAAACTTATCTACAAGCTGACACATTTAGAAGCTGGCACCTCTCTAGAATTAATGTGATCCTAAAAACCCAAAATTTCCATTGCTAAGCAAGACAGTTATTAAGTGAACTTTGCCCCATTTTACAACCTTACTTGCCACAGTTGTTAAGTGAATCACAGAAATTGTTAAGTTAGTAACACGGTCAAGCAAATCTGACTTCCCCCTTTAACTTTGCTTGTCAAAAGGTTGCAAAAGATGACCACATGACATCGGGACACGGCAATCATTATAAATACATGCCCAATTCCAAGCATCCAAATTTCGATCACGTGACCATGGGGATGCTGCAACGGTCATAAGTGTGAAAAATGGTCATAAGTCAGTTTTTTCAGGGCTGTTGTAACTCTGAACAGTTACTAAACAAATGGTAGTAAATCAAGGATTATCCTCAACCATAAACAAAACAAATCGGACAAAATGCTAAGCTGCAAAAATATATTTGCCACCAGCAGTTAGATCTAACTGACATACAAATGTTTTATGAAACCTGCTAGTGCGCAGCCAACTCTGCAGGATTGGTTGACCACGGATGGTGTATCAACCACCTTGTGTCTAGAAATAGGTAACATCAAAGAACTCCGGCAGACTTGATAAAAAGCAATGGAGTCAACTTCCAGTGGGGAAAAATATCAAACCAAATCAACAATAAGCCATGATCTCTCCAAGAGTTTCCCAGCTGATATGTCTTGGAGGGCACCATGAGAAGTCAACCATGAGAAGAAGCGTCATCTCATCAAGATTCATGCAATGAGGAGACTAATGGCCTCTTAACGTATGCCACTCTGTTCCATTTTCAGCATCTCCAAATAATTAAGAGGATGCCTCCGCACACCAAGAAAGTAGGCCACGTAAACAACTATCAAAACAGTAAACTGTAGAACAGGGGTATCCCACCTTGGCAACTTGAAGACTTGTGGACGGCTAGGAAGGCTAAATGACTCCTGTCCCAGTTCTCAAGATTCTCCTCTCATTCTTGGGGTTAAAACTTATTAAAGAAGGCATCTTGCCTTCTTGCTTGGGCTCTGCTCGAGAGGCATTTTGGAATGGGTGCAAATGTATCCAGGGCTGGCTTTGATTGCCACAGGTTTCAATTCATGTTAGAACCCAACCCTTGAGACTGCAGTTACAGAAGAAGATATAAGTGGTGTTACCCTTTCATTTGGCAAGAATTGCAGTAAATCTGAGGCTCTAATCTAGGGGTCTCCACACTTGGCAACTTGAAGACTTGTAGACTTTAATTCCCAGAATTCTCCAGCCAGCATAGTGCACAAGTCTTCAAGATGCCAAGGTTGACACCACTGTTGTAGAAATTAGGACTCCAACCAGGTGCACCTAAGACACAATTCCAACACAGGCTAGTGGCTGCAACACACAGCTGTAGCAGGCCCTTACCTGTATCAGGTGGGACGTGTGCCAAGCATCCCTGTCGTGCAACAAGGCGGTTTTGAAGTTACTACACAACATTGCCAACGCATGGCTATGGTATTGAATGGAAGACTGGCACTGATATATCACTGGAGGCCCCACCCGGCAGGAGGTAAAACCCAGCCACAATAGACCAAGAGAATAGAATATCTTTATCGTCATTGTGTAACTCCCAACGAAATTAAGCACGGCTGTGTGTGTATGTATGTGTGTGCCAGGTAGGGAAAGGGGCATGGCTGAGAGGTCACCTGCCCATGAAGGGCAATTGGGGGTTTTCTCTGGCCACGCCCATCAACCATTGGGTGGAGGGCCATCTGTCAACGGGGCACTTGGGGAGGGGCTCCACATCCATGGAAAGGAGGTGATCGGGTGGGTCACTTCAGGGGGGGGGTCAGCACTCCAGCACTCCCAAGTGGCCATGGCATTCCAGAGGAGCCACAATTTAGGGCTGGGGGCATATTAGTGCAATATTCGGGGCAGCCCAACGGTGAATAGAAGTGAAGGATATGTGCGTGTATAATGTATATTCTTCTTTGTGGTTTTTACTTGTGTGTAGTGTGTACTGTGGACAGCACTTAATTTCGTTATGAGTTACACAATGACAATGAAGGTATTCTGTTCTATTGTATTCTATTCTGTCTTGGGCAAGGGGCCAATTGCCCACATTTTCGCTTGCCCAGCTCTTGGGGGGCTAAGGGGCTCAGGACCCTTGACGGGTCCTCTGTGCGCCCCCTAGGAGGGAGTCTCCGCCAGGCCGCCACAGCCCGAGGCTCAGCTGCTCCCCAGGAGCTGGCCTGACAGCGGCCGTCCCGCGTTTTCGTTACGGCGGGCGCCCGCTTGGAGAAGCTCGGGCCGAGCCGGGGCGCGGCGCGAGAAAAGCAGCTGCGGAGCCTAACGGCATTTCCCGCCCGGGCGCCGCGCCGCTCTGATTGGCCGAGGCAGCCGTCAACAACGCCCCGCTCCCCGCCCCCGCCCGGGCCCAGGGCTCTCGCTCGCTCGCTCGCTGTCTCGCGGGCGCGCGCCTGGCTCGGCTCGCAGGACCCGGGAGGGGCGGCCGCGGGGGCGCGCATCTTCTCCGAGGAGCCCTTTTTGTTGTTATTGCTTCTTTCGCGCGCCCCCCCCCCGCAATAGACGGTGGGGGTCTTTTCCTCTCGCCTTAGCTCGGTTGCACGGAGCATTTCTTATTTCCTCCCCCCGGCTCGCCCCCTCCCTCGACTTGGCCTCCGCCCCCCGCCCCCCGCCCCCCAATCCCCCCCTCCCACATTCCTTGCAAAGCTCTTTGCAAACTCCAATCCGCCTCTGCGACCTTCCCACCCGGGAATCACCCCCCCCCCCGGCGCCGCCTCCCCAAAGCGAGGTGGGCGCTTCTGCAAGCCGCCCGGCTAATGAATTAAATTGCAGATAATTGGACGCGGGGGGGGGACGTGTCGGGGCCGCCCGGCAGAAGGAGCCAGGCAGTCACCCGAGGGGCGGGGGGGAGGCAGCCCTTGCCCCCTTGCACGGCGGCACCGCGAACACCCTCCACGCCGCCGCCGCCGCCGCCTCCCTCCATTGTCTGCTGTTGGCACGCGAGGCAGACTAGGCACCGTCGCGCGCGCGGAGGGGCTAATCCGTGGCCCGCATCTGCACCTGCCCCCTTGCAAAGGCGCCGCTGCCCCCTCCCCACACCCACCCACCCACCCACCCAGGGCGCCCGGGCCGTCTCCCCCGCCGCGCGCCCTTGCCGCACGCCCTTTCCAGCCCCCCCCACGCCCTCGCCTGTCAAACGACGCGGTACAGCCCCCCCCCGTCCGCCCCGCACCAGCCCAGCATCCCGCCCCCCCCGTCCCAGCCAATCCCTCAATTTTGCATGCTCGTTTGAATAAGGACAACGTTGCTTAGGAGCGGGGGATCACCGGTGGGGTGGGGTGGAGTGGGTGCGCCGGGGCTTGCCCCCCCCCCATGGCCCCGTCCCACGGCCCCTCCCTGCTTCCCTCCCCCCCCCGCCTGCCGGCCCCATCCGCACCCACTGTCCGGGGTCGCCTTTGCCTGCGCGCAATCCTGCAGCCCGTTATCGGAGCCCGGCGGACGGCGCGACGGTTCCCCCCACCCTCCGGTGCCCAGCTCATTGTTTCCGCGCAAGATACCCGGGCGGCTTTCGCCCCGCGACCGGGCGACGAGGGGGGGGGGATCCCAGATGCTGCTCTCCGAAGCCCGCTAGCGCCCTCGTAGCGAGCCTCGCCGACACGAATGAAGCTGGGCAGGACAGGGAAGGCAAGCCGGGGGGCAAGGGCGAGGCAAGGGGTCTCTCCCTCTCTCTCCCTGCGCCCCCTCCCCGCCCCAAAAGAGGGAGCGCCTTGCCGGAGGGTCTCCCAGGCGCGCCCCAGCCCAGAGGTCCGGCAAAACCCCCCCGGGGGGGGGGGGAGAGAGGGCGCCTGGCAGCAACGCCAACAGCCGTCCCGGCTGGGCACGGGGGTCCCCGGCGTCGCCCCCTTTGGCAACCCCCCACCGCATCCCGAAAATAAAGCGTGGCAGGTACCTGCGGTGCCCAGGAGGAGCCAAGTCCAGAGGAGGTCCGTGCTTTGGAGCATGGTCACCGGCCGCCCGCCGCGGAAGTTGCGCTGCATAGATGCTTGGATGGGCAGATACAGATGTGCTTATGCCGGGCTGCTCGCTTTCCCCCCTTCGGTGGGAACCTGGGCGGGTCAACCCAGGAGATGCCAGGCGAGGAGGAAGGAGGGGGTAAAGGGGGGGAAGGAAAAAAAAAACGTCCGGAATGGCCCGCGAGAGCCCAACCGCCCTATCTCTGCAGGTCTCCCCGTTGATCTGTCGGCTGGGACAAATTAGTTTGATTTTTATCCAGGGGCTTCAGAGCTGCTTTCGGGAGCTGATCGGAGAATGAGTGACAGTCCCAGCCTCAGCACGCGGGCGGGAGCGCAGATCCCTGCGCTGTCCCGGCTTTGGGAGGGAGGCGGCGCGGCACTGCGCTGTGTTCTTCCACCCAGACTGGCCACCGAAATAGTTCAGTGCAATAGGCAGCATCCAGGAGGATGCTGGTTGGGGGGGGGGGGAGAGAGAGAAAGAAGAGGAAAAGCAAGCGCAACTGCCTAGAAAAGGTGGACTGGCTGGTTTGAAGGATCTGGATTCCTTCCCATTTCAAATAAAATAAAATAAAATAAGGCTGGTTTTCTCCAACCCCCCTTCCCCTCCTCCTCCTCCTCCTCCTCCTCCTTTTAATTTTCCTCTTTGCAGAGAAATGTGCACATTTGCACTGGGTTTTTTTTACCGTGGTTAGGAAAAAAAAAAACAATGCAAACTTGGAAGGACTGTGTCTGTAAGTAAGAGTAGGCATACTTGAGGTTGGGATGTTTCCCCCCCCCCCATTTATCCCTGAAAATGTAAACATGAGCACTGTTTTTACTTTACAATCTATAGGAAACATATACAACTCCAAAGACATGAAAACAGGAGAAGCCAACCAGCTTGGCCAAAACTCAAAGCCGCAGAAGGCAAAGTTTGGGGCTGAGATTGCAGACATTTGGAAACCAAACTCAAAATAACATTTGGAACAGCGGGAATGGGGGGGGGGGTGTGCCCAAATGAGATGCTCAACTGCTGACGTTGGACAAAATGTAATATCTCAAGACCCTCAGGAGGAAAAACATGCCCACCAGCTGAACCTCTGAACATAAATTCAAAGCACTTCTTTTACAAAAGAGGTCCATTCCAGGCCAACCTGGGCATCTTCAGATGGATTGGGACTACAGCTCCCAGAATTCCTGAACGGGCTGATGGATCACTTGTAGATGGAATCCTGATAACCTCTGGAGCTACCAAGTTGGGGGATTTCCTTAGAACAATCCATGAATTTGTGCTTAGATAGAGCAACCTAGGTAGAAGAGAATTAAATGCTAGAAAAAATATCCCTGGATAACCAAGGGTTCTAGATTCCTTCTGGAAACTTCATCCAGGAAGCCAGGAGGACTTAGCAGAGTTCAACCAAGTATGATGAAAACCAGATATTAATGACAGACTAACAGAACTGGAAGGACCCTTGAGGTCTGCTAGTCCAATCCTTTGCTCAAGCAGAAGACTTATACCATTTCAGACAAATGACAGTCCAGTTTCTTCTTAAAAACTTCCAGTGATGGAGCACCCACAACTTCCGGAGACAAACCATTCCACTGGTTAATTGTTCTGTCAGAAAATTTCTCTTTATTTTAGAAATCTCTTATGGATGGTTTAATTGATTTTCCTACATATAACCTGGGTAAGACTAGATAATCCTTGAAGTCTCTTCCAACTTTGTGCCAAAGAGTAGCAAAGAAAGGCAGAGAACTTCCAATGACAAGACTTCATAGGGACTATAAGCTAACTGGAAGAAGAATGTACAATATTGGTTGCTCGTTGGCATATTCTGGAAGGCACCGCAGAACATTTTTATCTTCTTAATATGCTTCAAAAGCCAAGATTTTTCACTCTCTAATTCTTGACATTTTTTCATCAGGATGTTTTTGAAGCCAACGATTAAACTAGATTTTAAGGAAATCTTCTTCCATTGATTTTCCTTGTGGGAAGCCATTTGGGAAGCTCGCAAATGGCCATCATATCACCCTGGGATGCTGCAACCCTTATAAAAACATCCCAGTTGCCAAGCGCCTGACTTTTGATCACATGATCCTGGGGACTTTGGAATGGCCGTTAATGCAAAGACCGGTTGTAAAGTCACTTTTTTCAGCACCATACTAACTTTGAGCAGTTGCTAAACGAATAGTTATAAATCAAAGACTGTCTGTATGCTGAGCTTTGAATTGGAAAATAATCTCCATGAAATGTCAGAAAGTCTGTAGTAAGTGCCTTGGCAAAAACAGCCCTATCTTACCTGCTAATATTGTTTAAACCATGGATAGAAACGCAATCCTCAGAAGTTTAGCTTAGCCTGTACAGGGGTTTTCCCCCTCTATTTTTAATTATTTAGAGAGCCACCCAGGAGAGGATCTATGTAAAGATTTTGTTGTGATAGTCTCTTCAGAGGCAACATTGAGAAAGGGAAAGGAAGACACAAAAAGAGACTAAATTAAAAGTGCTTGAGGTTCAACTAATTGGAAGGAGGGGGAAACCCAATTATTTTCCATCAGCAACTTCATTTTGCCTAAAATACTAGAAAATACTTCAGTTGGAAACGCCCCTTTGTCATAACATGCAACATAATTTGAGATGATTAGCTGTTCTTCTGCTTAAAAAGAGATGAAAATACAGGTAATTGTTTGCTTTTTAATTGCCAAGGGAATAATCAGAACTGTAAGATGGCATGTCAACGAGAGCAGACCGACAAATGTAAACTAATTTACACATCTTATTAAACATAATTTATTTTAAAAAACAAAATGAAAATGAAAAGCAGAGAGGAAAATCTACAAGTAGGCAAAGCACGAGGCCAGCTCCATGAACTTTTATCAGCTGCTGAAATACTTAAGAGCGCCTGAATAGGAAACCCAAGTGACACAACCTTGTTCAGATTTACGCACTGCACTAAACTCTAAGGCTGTTTCTGCGGGTTTAGCATGCTGTGAAACCCAGCCAATTGTGGCTCATAAATTTATGATTCATGGCTTAGAAGAGTGTTTCCCAGCCTGGGTACATACTCTCGATATATGGACCAACTCTCCAAATTCCAATTCTTCAGTTGTGAGATGTGAAATCTATAAAGGACACCTGGTTGGCTTAGCAAAATGTATAAACCAAGATAGTGTGGTTTGTCCAAGAGTCATGTTTAAAATAAACTATAGTGTAAGGTAAGATGCGGATTGTCCCCACCTCTGCTTTCTTACAAACTTTAATTCATGAACTCACCTTGGTTTTCTGGTTTTATTGATCACTCATGGAGCAGAGATATTCCATGAGCATATTCTGGAACACCCCAAAGTGCCTTCACTGTTGTATTATGGACAGTTGTAGCTTCCAAATGCTCTACATGACAGTCCTACATAGGGCACATCGCAGTTATCCAACTGGTAGGACAAGAATGAATTACTGTGAGTAACTCATGTTTTAGATCAGGGCTGTCCACCTTGGCAATCTTAAGACTTGTAGATCTTAATTCACAGAATTCTGAAAGTTGAAATCCACAAGTCTTAAAGTGGTCAAGGTTGGACGCCTATGCTTAGATCTTTTGAAAGTAAATAAATATGGGATTCTCACAAGTACCTTCTGTCATAAATCTGGACATAGTTTATTCAGCACACTATGATTAAACAAACCATGTTTTAATTAACATGGGAACCCAACCTTGCTTTCTGAACTTGACTGTCTGACACAGGACCTTAGATAATCAAAGCAGATTCTCTACCACTGATCCTGGCTCCTCCTTATTCTCCCTGATCATTAAAATTTGGTATTAATTATAATGATCACTGATTATTCAGATAGGCAAAGAACTAATCAAGATCACTCAAGGAGGCTATGTGTTATCTATCTGTTCCCCCAAATCCTCAGACAGATTTTGAATAGCCTCCAACTGAAAAACCTGGAGTGTCACAGCAGGTTGGTGTAGACAGGATTTAGCCAGATGAGAGAGGGGTCCCACCTAGTCTATGGCAATTTCCTGCTATTTGGGGAGACAGAGCAAATACAAACCATTTTTTTTAAATCACACAGTTCAAGGATTGGTGTCTTGCAATTACCACTCAGTTTTCCTTTGCAGGGATGACATTAGTGTCAGAGGAGGCCACAAGGAACATCAGCTGTCAAACCCCACCACGAGATGAAAGAATATTGGGGCATTACTCCCCTCTTATTGGCTGGGAAAATTGCTTCGTATTTGTGTCAAACCAATACAAAAGTTAACAGATACCATCACAACAAATATGATACAACAGCATAGAAATAAGACTGGTGGCTTGACAGGTGCGAGATCCTTCTCTATGTCTGAAAAAGAGAACAATTCATCCAGTTTGTCAAACCACCTTCTACATTTCAGATAATGCTTTAAGTAAGCCAAGACTGAGTTCAGTTTTACATGCAAGGCTAAGCCAAACTTGGTTCAGAGCAGTGTGGATTCCTAATCACCATGTTATTTCTATGAAAGTCAGAAGCTGGATCATCTTCCGTTGATGGTCCTCCGACATCCTCCTGTCTATATTATCCATCTAGATAGGAGGCTAAACTTTAGCACCAAGTTTCCTGAAAGGTTCATAAACTCAGTTTGCTTAGATGTCCTTCCCTTTGTGAATGGACTCATTTATACTTTCAATCTCTCTTGGTTTACTGAAGGACACCCCAATATAAAATGATCAACATCCAGGGGAGATCAAAGGGCACTTAGATGTGTCCCCCAGTGATCCTTTCTCAGGTTCTTTTCCCAACCAAATGAATGTGTTTGGCATTAACTCAGTTGCAACAGGTGGCAAGCTTGTGTGGGACTTAGTTTGAGCAGCTTTGCTAGACTTCACCCACACTCAGAAGAACTGGAATCGCTTGTCTGTTTGCAAAGCAACATGAGAAAACTGTGGCCAATTATCTACTTTCATGATATTAAAATCTGTTCTTTAATACTGAGATTACTTGGTTTTGCAAGGGAGATGAATTTTGACTGCCTCCACGAAGAGCATGAAAAAGTCTTTTTTTGTTCATGCCCACATTCAAATAGGCAACCATCTCTTCTCCTATAGTAGCTGTGAACAACCTTTCTGTTGTTGTTCCAATCATCATTGGAATTTTACACCAGAACAGAAATCTGGTGAATCTCATCACAGTGCCTCCGGAGAAGCAGCAAGTGTTCCTTAGAGGGCAGCTATTAGCGCTTTGGATTTCTTATTACATGAAGAAAATTACCTGCCACCATGCAGCCCTCGTGCCTTGCCCCAGAAAACTCCCACCCAGAGGCATGCACTGATGAGGTCATAAATGCTGGGATTAAAAATATATTTCTGCAAATCAAAAATTGAAATGCCTCAAAATGCTTCAGCTTTCCATTTTGAATAAAGGTAAAATCTCCCAGACTTCTGAATTCAAAACATCTCTAT